GGCTGGCGGGGGTGACGCCTCGCCCAACAGCTCGAGCCCGCAGCCGCGCCTTCGCAAGAGGGTCAGCCCAGGGTCTCATTGGGTCCACGGAGGGACCAAGCCAAATCCCAAGGTACAGGAGCTCTGAGACGACCTTCATGGAGGACCAGTGGGGCACAGCCAGGGAGAGCCTCCCCAGAGCCTCCAGGGCGAGGGCGGGACTAAAGGAGGCTGATAGAGGGACCACATGGCACTGAATCTTCAAGACAAGGTTCGCCCTCAACTCCGCATCCCTCATCGCGAGGGCGACCCAGGCCATGTCCTCAATGCTCACCAGAGTGCCGCCTCGTCGGCGCACGCACGCGCGAGCCCGCGGCCCGCCTCCTCGGTCACGCGGGCGAGGTGGTACAAGCACGGTGACGACGCTATAGCATACAGCGAGCCCGACAATGCACAACCCTGAATGATCCCGCTACGGACCCAGTGCAGGTGAACACGGAGCCCCATGGAGATCGCGATACCCTCGATGGCCTCATATAGGAACCCAGCGAACATCAGGATAGCCTCTGGAAGACGAAGAGCCCCTAGTATGAACAGCAAGAACTCTTGATTCAGGGAGGGGAAGGCCTGGCCGTAGTCCAGACTGTAGAGAATCGGTAAGTCACGCGAACCGTATGGTGTGCACGAGAGCTGGCGGCTTGACACGTCCAACTCCAGCGCACTCAGGCCAAAGTTCCGCCCTGGAACAAAGCCCCTTTGACAGGGAGGGGCAACGCGTTCAAGGATGGGGCGAAGGGCAGCATTCATGGTGGCTGAGAGGACCTTCATGTCGCAGTTGCGGAGACCGAGCACCCTCACCTAGTCTGCCCCCCCTCCCGACCCGGCCGGCTTGGGCCTCGTCTTCGGAACCATTTTTGGGCAAAAAGACCTGGAGCGTAATGCTCGCCGAATCAAACAACGCCTGGCCCCTCATCACCCACTCCAGACAGTCCCAGAGGATGGTCGCGCCAAAGGGCTCCGATCTCCACGCCGTATAAGAGAGCCCATCGCATCCAGTCGCAGAGTCGGTGGCACGCGCAAGCGCAGCACGTAGGAGGCGAGGGGTAGGAGGAGGAAGTACCACTTCATCAACAGCAGGTAAGTATTGAGCGGCATGCTCGATCGCCCTGTCGCGGCCCCAGGGCTTCTTGGAGAACACAGGGCCCCAGTAGCTCTTCAGGAGGTCCACGCGTTCGGAGGGGTCACACGCAGCACGCCCATGCTCATCGGTGACTGCCGTCAGGCATACACGACGATTTAACGGGGACCACAGACGAGCCCGCCTTTCCAGGGATCGTAGCTGCAATCGGGTGGCACGCACTTCCTGAGGAGAGTCCTTCCTTCTTTGCAGCTCAGCCCGTGCACGCTCCGCCGCCTCCCAGTGGAGTTGGTCAGACCAAGCACGAAATGAATCAGGATGCAACAGCTCGACCACGGGGCCTCGGACGCGAATGAAGTCAGACGACACGGGATGGGATTCCAGAAGCTTCCAGGCCAACTTCACATCCTGACGCCACACCACTCTGGCTAATGAGCGGGCTAGCTGGAGCAAAGTGGACGGGTGGCGGGGGCGTCGTCGGAAATCATTAGCACGCGCTTCACGTGCAGCTTCTTTCATGAGATACTTATAGTGTTCCAACCGATATGGAGGCGACATACTATCCCAGTCAGTACATTCAACCATTGCACGAATACGTTCTTGGTACCTCGGGTCCTGGAAGGGATGTTTGGCGAGAGGGCGTTCGGCAGGGGGACGAGCAGCACGGGGGGTAATAGCGATCACGACGGCAGCGTGGTCCGAGACGACCGAGTCCGAGACGGACGCCGCAGAATCGACGGTGGCGGCCTGGAGATGACGTTGGCAGACCATCCACCCAGGAAGAGAGAGGAAGAGACGATCAATACTGGCCTCCGAGTTGGACTTTTTTCCCGTCGTGCGACCCCATATCGCACTCCACTTCGACGAGCTGCGAGAGGGCCTGGCGCCAGACTTGGGCCTGCCCATGATGTTGCCTCGAAGCACGTCGTACAGTGGCCTGAGGCATGTGAAGAACGACTGCCTCTTCCGCAGCGAAATTGAAGTCGCCCACGACCAGCGCGAGCCGCTGGGTGGGGGCGCGGAGCGCAGCAGCACGAGCCTCGAGGATAATCCGGACGATCTCTCTGACCTGCGCTCTCTTCAGATCATGATTGTGAATGTTAAAGATGTCCATGCGTACCGAGCCACACTCGACAGTAACATGCAATACCCGACCAGGTGCAAGAGCCACTGCGTGGCTTCGCACGCGTTCTCCAGCTGCCTGACAAACTTGAAGAAGAATAACAGCAACACCCCCACGGATGCGGTCCGCACCTGAGTCACAACAAAACGACGTGTGCACCGTCAGCGACCCCCCCAACGGGCCCAGAAACTCACGAAGTTGAAGTTCGTCTTGCCTGACTTCCTGCAGGCACACGGTAGAGCGAGCAGGCTGAAGACGGAGTAGGTAGCTAAGCTTGCGCGCACCATTTTTGCCAGCGCGTTGGAGCAATGCACGGGCATTCCACGTGACAACCCTCATGGAGCACACAGGAGAAGATGACGAAGGCGAAGTACATTTGAATAGCTTCCATACGTCAAAGACACCACTGTGGTTCAGCCTCAGGTTCGACGAGGGGGGCCAGCGGCGCCACGAGCTCGGCTTTGACGAGATCGTGCTTCGCCAGCTGTTGAGTGCCCCAGTAGAACTCCGCAGGCTTGTTACCAGGATGGACCTCCGCGCGCGTGATGCGATCCCAGCCGATGGATAGTGTGGCGCGCTCTCTGCCCGTAAGCAACCGAAGGTTCGGATGGCGCTCAACAGTGAGTCCACGGGCCCTCCGCAGGAGGATTTCGCTGCGAATCTGGCGTGGCGACTTGTCGGGGCCCAGGTGGGTGCGACAGCGCGGGCTGCCTGGGACCTCGACCGTGAACTCCTTCCAGACCCCCTCGGAGCGCAGGGGGCCGATGGCCTTCGCCGCCGTCCTGGGCGCGACGGCGATGAGGCCCTTGAAACGGGTGTGAAACTTCTTGGTCGGCGCAGCGCCGACAGGAACAATGTCGTAGAGGTCGTCGGCAAGGCCGAGGGGCGCGATCCAAGGCCGTAGTTCAGCTTCGACACAAGCCGTGGTGGTCGGTCGTTGGGCCACGGCCACCGACAGCGAGGCGTGCACCTCCCTGTCGAAACCTTTCGGCTGAGTGAGAGGAGCGCGGGGGCGCTGTTCAGCCAAGTGGAGCTCCTTTTTGAGTGCCCCCATCTGGGCTTGTACTTCGAGCATCTGGGCCTCGACATTCGCAACGCGCCCGTCAGTTTCATTGATCTGCACCTGCTGGGCGTCAAGCTGCGACTGCATGCGGCGGGCGGTGGAGTCGAGCTGGGGGGGGGGGGGGGGGGGGGGGGGGGGGGCGATCGAGGGGATCTTCTGGTCGAGGTCCGCGGGCGGCTGAACCAGCTGCGCGCGGGGCTGGTCCAGCAACTCAAGAGTTGGTTTGTTCTGGACCTCAATATTCTGCTTGATGGTGGCGGTGAGAGACTTGCTGATGTCGGTGGCCAGCTCTTCTCGCATCTTGTCGAGCATGTCGGCGCAGCATTGCTTGATACGCATGCGACCACCCTTCGGGTGATAAGGAGGCGAGGGGGGGGGGGGGGGGGGGGGGGGGGGGGCAACGTCGCACTCGATCGATCTCACTATCGAACTCACTACCGATCTCACAATCGACCTCGACCGATCGATCTCACAATCGATCTGACTACCGATTGCACAATCGATCTCACAATCGATTTCACATTCGGTCTCGCTATTGATCTCACAATCGATATCACAATCAATATCACAATCGATCTCACATTCGATATGACTATCGATCTCACTATCAAACTCACTACCAATTGCATTTTCGATCTCACATTCGGTCTCACTACCGATATCACAATCGATCTCGCAATCGACGTCATCATCATCATCATCAGCATCATCATCATCATCAACATCAACATCATCATCGCCACCATCAACATCATCATCATGAGTATCACCATCATCATCATCATCACCGTCATCATCAGAATCATCATCATAATCATCATCAACATCATCATCGGGACACCGACGGGACACGGACGGGACACCAGCGGGACACCGGCGGGTCACCGCGGGGCCCCGGCCGCCCGGAAGGGAATCATTTGGTCCGGCCGCGCCTCAGCCACACGGGACACCAGCGGGACACCGGCGGGACACCGCGGGGCCCCGGCCGCCCGGAAGGGAGTCATTTGGTCCGGCCGCACCTCAGCCACAGGAGACTTTCTCTCGCCCGCCCACGCAGCTTCGCCTCGCCCGCGCGGCACGCACGAACACGAAACCGAAATCGATTTCCCGGCAGGGGGGCTCTCCGTTCCACTTCGATCTCACCCCCTCACCTCCGATAGTCCTCCGAAGCGTCGTCGTCATCGTCGAGGTGCGGCGGCATGTCGTCGTCTTCGACGGCAATCGCAGGCTGGCCATGAGGGGGAAAAAGCACGCCGCCTATGAGCAGCACAACTAGCGATACGAGCGGGGACGCAGCCCTTGCCTTTTCCCGCCTTGCTTTCTTGGGACGGGAAGGTCGGTGCGAGCTCCAGCAGCTCTGCCTGAGATGCCGAGATCTCCCCAGCAGGGGCGCCATCAGCCATCACGAGCAGCTCAGACGGAATGGGGAGAGACTTGGCGGGGGCCCAACTCCCGCGGTGAAGGCACACAAAGATAGCTAGGCACCAGAGGACTGGATTGGAGAGCGGCCTCAAAGCGGAACCTCCCTCGCGCTCTGAGGTCGCCCCGAAAGACTCGCGGTCGTCGGGACGGTTCATAGCCTTGAGCCAAAATGGCTACGGAGGAGGAGGAGGAGGAGGAGGAGGAGGAGGAGGTGGAGGAGGAAGATCAAGAGGAAATTTCTCAATTGATCCCCCTCCATCCCCCCACGCTGGAGCCTGCCGGAGCTCTGCCCACTGCCTGTCGAGGTCCTCCTGGCGCCGCTGGAGCTCCTGGCGACGGGCTTGGCCCAGGGCCCAGGTCAGGCCAGGGGTGCTCTTTCGAGCGAGGGGGCCCAGACCAGAGCAAGCAGAGGCCTCCATCGCCTTCCATAGCCCTCGTCCTCGTCCTCGTCGTCGTCGTCCTCCTCCTTCTCCTCCCCCCCACCGTCCTCCGTAGCCATCTCGGCTCAAGCGAGCGACCCCTCTGTTGCTCACGCCAGATCGGCATTGCGCCTCTCCTGCCTGGAGCAGCGGGTCTCGTTCGCGAAGCTTGAGATCATGGAGGCTGGAGGGTGTGGAGTTGCACGCCCATTGCGCCGCGCAGCGGACCGCAGGGCTGGGAAGCTGTGGGCCAGGCAATCTGCAGACCGAGCCATCGTCAAGTTGCCTGGCGAGCTCAGCCGTGTGCAGGCTGATTTCGACGCGGCCCTCAGCGGCCTCGCCACCATCTTCGGGTGCGAGGAGAAGACCGATCGCACCGCGGCGTTGGCGCCTTTCCTGGTGGAGAAGCTTGCTGGGCGCGCGCCGTCGGCGGTGCAGGCGCTGCGGCGGAATGCGGCGCTGCATTCCGACGCCCACGGGGAGCGGGTGGCGACAGTACCGATCGAGCAGGCGCGGCGGCTGCGGGAGCACGGGGCCAGGCAGGAGGCTGCGCGGAGTCGGCGACCATCCCCCCAGAAAGGCTTGGCGCGGCGTGCGCCGCCGTGGTCCTGAGCGAGGGCGTGCAGGTGCGCGATGCGGGCTTGGAGCAGCGGCCGTCGCAGGGCAGCTGCGCGTCGCCCCTCCAGCACCAAGGGCCTCGCCAAGAGGCCGCGTCCTTCCGGCCCGTGCGCCCGCCTGGGGTGTGGTTCGACCCCGCAGAGCATGTCTGCGGCCTGCCTGCGGCGCAAGAGACGCTCGCCAGGCTGACTGCGAGAGGGGCGCTGACCTTCAAGTCCTCGCGAAGGTGGAAGAGCTGCAGGTGGAGCTGGCAGCTGCGTGGAGCATGGCTGCTGTGCCTGCAGCTGCGGCGCGGCCCGCACCGGTTTCCACGTCGTCCAAGGCCTGGCGGATGGCACTGTATCGTGTCGCCGAAGCCCGGCTAGAGGCATCGGAAGCTGAAAAGGCAAAGGACACTGATCATCAAGACCCTTCGGAGGCGGAGGAGCAGGCGAAGCTGGCAGCCGTGAGACGCTATGCTGCGGAGGTTGTGTTTGCGGCGCGCCCCGCGCGTGTCCTTGCCGGAGCTGGAGCTTTCGAGAAGACTGCCTTACCTAAGGCCGACAGGTCTTTCCAGAGGGCGAGGCTACTACAAGATGCGACTGTTTTTCGAAGTTTGTCTGCTGGCTCACGGGCACGCGGCGCCAACGGGCTCGATGGTTGACTGGGCTTCGCTTGGCGTAGCATCTCTGCCCCCGAGCGCGCAGACGGCCGTGCATGCAGCGGGCGGTACCGCCGATTGCCAGCAGATGTGACTTCGTAGCAAAAGGGACGCTGCGCGGAGTTCCCCCGTCGGTGCGCGGAGCTCTTCATCGTCTCGCTCAGCTTCCTCAACGTCGCGATTCTGGCGAAGCTCCGAGCGGAGGGAGGGCGCCGGTACTTGTATGACTGCGTCACTGATCCCAGTCCAATTCCCATTTCCTCCTCCATCTTCCTCCTCCTGCCTCTCCTGCTGCTGCTCCTTGCCCTCCCTGTCTCCCTCGTCTACGAGGAGAAGCCTGGTGGGGGAGTCCTGGTCAGAGCAGAAGGGAACAGGACTGGGGGGGGGGCAGGCTAGGAGAAGAGGTGTGTGTGTGTGTGTGTGGTGGGGGGGGGGCGGGCGAGGACGAGCACGGTGCGTTCGCTCCACATCTGGTATGCTGCCCCTCCCTCCCATCTGTTAAACCCGCTTCTGTGTGCCGAGTCGGGTGTCAGATCGGACCTTCATCCACGACTTGCTCTTGCAGTGCACGAGGGGCAATCGGGCAGGGTGGGGCCCGACGGCGCACAGAGAGGTCGGGGGATGTCCTTGGTGGAGAAGATTCAAGCACTATCGGAGCGCACAGAGCAAGAAACATACATACTGGAGGAGGACGAGGGGGAGGATGATGTGGATGGTGAGGACGATGGGGATTGGTGATGATGATGAGAATGCTGCTGCTGCATGCAATGATATCGATGATGCTGATGATGCTGATGCTGCTGATGATGAGGGTGATGATAGTGATGATGATGACGATGATGATGATGATGCTGATGATTATGATGCTGATGATGAGGACGATGCTGCTGCTGATGCTGACGATGGGGATGATGCAGATGATGGTGACGGGGGTGAGGATAAGGATGATGGGGATGCGGACGAGGACGAATACGAGGATGGGTAGGATGAATATGCAGTTGCCGTTGCTGCTGCTCATGACGATGATGGTTATGATGAAGCTGCTGATGATGACGGTGATGATGCGGCTGATGCTGATGCTGATGCTGATGATGATGATGATGATGATGATGATGATGATGATGATGATGATGATGATGATGATGATGATTACGACGATGACGATGACGATGACGATGGCGATGGCGATGGCGATGATGATAATAATGGTGATGACGGCGAGTACGATGACGACGTCGTGCCATCCTCATTCGCCTCCTCCTCATCCTCATCATCATCGCCGTCATTATCAGCATCACCATCACCATCATCATCATCATCATCATCATCATCATCATCATCATCGCCATCATCATCACAACCCCCACCATCATCACCACCATCACCATCACCACGACCGCAGGCCCTACCCCCAGCCCCCCCCACCACCATCATCATCAGCAGCATCATCACCATCATCATCACCATCACCACCATCATCATCACCATTACCATTACACTCACCATCATCATCAGCAGCATCATCATCAGCATCATCATCATCAGCGTCATCATCATCATCATCAGCATCATCATCGCCATTATCATCACCACCACCATCACCACCACCGCCACCACCATCCCCACCACCACCACCATCCCCATCCCAACCACCACGACCACCCACATCATCATCATCATCATCATCATCATCATCATCATCATCAGCATCATTATCATTGTCATTATCATTACCATCATCACTATCACCATCACCATCACTATCACCATCATCATCATCACCATCATTATCACCATCACCATCACCATCATCATCGCCGCCACCACCATCATCATCGTCGTCGTCATCATCATGATCGTGATCCTGAAGATCATTATCATCATCATCATCATCATCATCATCATCATCATCATCATCATCATCACCATCACCATCCTGTACATCCTCCTTCGTCTTCTCCTCCTCCGCCTCCACTTCCTGTTCCTCCCTTTTTTATTATTGTTCTTGTTCCTACTCTTCTTCCTCTCCTCCGCACCCTCCACCTTCTCCTCGCTACCCCCTTCTTCCTGGCCCCCCCCTCGCCTTCGCGGGGATCGACGGAGAAGGCTCCTCATCCGCGGCGGAGAGGCGCGGAGACGGCAGCGGCGACGGCTCCGGGGTGCCGTCCGGCGAGGGCAGGAAGTGGCTGCTGCCTCCGCCAGCCGAACGTCCCCGGGCGGGCAGCCCCGGAGGTCTCACGCTTCGAGGGAAGATGACGGTGATGGTGATAACGAGGAGGGAGGAGGAGGAGGAGGAGGAGGAGGAGGAGGAGGAGGAGGAGGAGGAGGAGGAGGAGGAGGAGGAGGAGGAGGAGGAGGAGGAGGAGGAGGAGGAGGAGGAGGAGGAGGAGGAGGAGGAGGAGGAGGAGGAGGAGGACCATTTGGACCATTTGACCAAGCACAGTCGTGCGGGAGGAGGAGGAGGAGCAGAAGGAAGAGGAAGAGGAGGAGGCTCGCTCGCTCGCTATCTGCATATGGCCAATGCTCTCCACTTCCTCAGCAAAATGGCCGCAGGGCGGTCGAAGACGCTATGTCTCCCGCCGATGTCAAGCACATGGGAGCCCTTGCCCCAGCAATCAGCATGGGGACTCCGTGATTGCAGCACAGGGTCGAGAGGCCTGTCCGTGCAGCTATTATAGCTTCGACGTCTTCTCGGGACGCAGGGTGGACATTAGGAACAAGGCGGCAATCAGGACGGCGGCGGCAGGACACAAGAGGGGAGGAGGCCAGCCAGGCCAGTTCAAAAACGCAATAAAAAAGATTCAGCACATTGCACCGATTCGGGGAAACGCGAAGAAGAAAGAAGGACACAGCGGCGGCCAGGGGCGGCAGCAGCGAAGGCAGAGGGGGGAGAGAAATCTGAATTCTGAACCATCCCTCACCGCGAAAGTAGGCGAGGCGCTGGCCTCGCCCAAAACAAACTGAACAATCGAATTCCCGTCTAGCATTCGGGTCTCGTGAACACAACTATTTACCGACAGCTCTTCCAGAACTCTTCCCACGACCCTTGTTCTTACCTCGGCCCTTGGGGCGTGCCAGAGGGTCCCACTCCCCCTGAAACTGCACCCTTCCGCGCTTCGAGGCCGATCCAAGAACAGAGGGAGGCCCAGGAGGAGGAGGCCTCGCAGAGGAAGAAGAGGGGGGTCTAAGCTCTACAGGGCCTTCTTGAAGCGGCCCCTGCGGAGCATCTTCTCCGAAGAATTCTGGACTCGGCGCTCTTGGGTGATTTTCGGGGGGGGGGGGGGGGGGTGGGGGGGGGCCTGCCTTCGGTGCGCTCCCGAAGTCCAACAGAGGAATCATGAATATCGAATTCATTGGCATCATCGGGCCTATCCCAGCGACTCCTTGAACCTATGAGCTGACGAAGAACGTGCGGCGAACGACAGGCGGCGCGCCTTCCTGCACGTAGGCCGACTTCATCTCCTCGGTTAGAGTGGTGACGACCTTCAGATGACCCTGCAACGCGAGATTCGCCTGTAGGGTGGCCTGGTCCACTAGCGTCTGCAATGTTGCGTAAGCGACGTGCAGGCTGGGTGGTCCGCGGCCAGGATCTGAAGAAATCTCCTTGTCGTGTCGCTGCGCTTCTGGGCGACGCCGATCGCCGCGTAGTTCGCCTCCGAGAGGCCGCTGTCGTCTGTTGGCGCTGCGGCTGCGGCGGCGTTCGGAGGTCTTGTTGACGTCGTGGCTCCTTCGCGCGTCGTGCGCGTGGCTTGCCGCTGCCTCCAACGGCCAATAAGGTCGTCGGAGAGCTTTCGGCCAGACGCATCCTCGCCTTGTCGACATCCGCCGCCTCCAGCGGCATCATCCACGTCGCCGTCGGGAAGAGCGAACGAGAAGGTGGCGTCAGACAGGTCAATATGCGTACGAATATGCCGCCCGAGAGCCACAAGTGACGGATGATCAACACTACCAGCGGGACATTCAGAGGTTGGTGGCAAAATCGGCTCATGAATCGGACTTCGATCGCACTGGCGACTTCTTGTCAACACGCTCGTCGAACATGCAGTCGAGAAATCGCAGCGGTCGAATGTGTGCGCCAGGGACACTGGCTGGTAACGGTGAGGAGCTGCGATGAAGCTCGATGTCCGTGGCTGCCCTCAGTGCAAGACCGCGTCTGAGCATGCCGCCCCTGCTGATCATTAAATTCCATTCCACACTCTGTGCCGCCGTTTTCTCGTTTCGGTACATGGCCAAACTCGAGGGGGGAGGGGAGGGGGGGGGGGTCGGGGGCGGGGTCTTGAGGTCATGCTGCTGCCCCTCCTTCTGGTACTCCTCCAGCCTCCTCCACCCTCCCTCTCCAGGTCTCGTCGATTTTCCCTTCCCAATGCGTACTGCGGAGCTTAGTGAAGTTTAACTTGCCAAACTGCTGGCAAAAAGCGTCTTGGACAACAGGTAGATGCATATGTCCCGTAGCAACTAACAATGCTGGTCCATCCTCAACGCGAACCATAATCTTCAAATCATGTAGTGCCTGAAGGGCCCAGGGGTTCCCGCGAAGTTGTCCTTCTTCATCTCGAGCGAGCAGTCCGTTCTTGACGGTCGGGTGCTCCTCGCCATGCACCTGGCCAGGGGACGCTGCCAGAAGTTGTCTGTTCTCTGCACGGTGCGTGGCCAAAGACTGGAGCCACTGAAGACGTCGAATTCTCAGTTCGAATTGCGTGGGGGCCACGCGCAACATAGTCCATGTACGAACGCTTGGACGTGAAACGTGCTTCACCGTGCCGCCAGCCCGTGGAATCTCGAGAACGGCTGCACATTAAGAGTAGAACCCGGCCCCACTGAACCAATGGGCCGTCGATGAGCTTGAAGACGCTCGCAGACAAAATGAACTCCTCAAGACCACGGAGACCTGCCGACTGTGTGCGCGCTTGAAATACGAGAATACGAATACGTAGTGGTCCATGTGCAACATGCCAAAACCTCCTCATAGCGTACCATGCGCTGCGCGTGTGTTTTTGACTGGCATGACGTTGCTGTGCAGTAGTACCCGCTCCATGATACATTGCACCTAGGTGCTTGGCATGCGTGCGCGCACTCCCAGGCAACTGACGCGCAGGGTCAGTAAAGGATCTATATTCTCCGAAGGATCCTGGACCAACAAAGCGTGGGACTGTCACCTGCTTGTCAATATTGAGACTCCCTCCCGCTCGCGCAAGATGGGCGGCCAGTATGGCCTCTGCAGAACAGGCCTCAACGGCCATAGCTGACGCTGTACGGGCGATGATCTTATGTGCAACATCGTCGATATACACCGCGGTGGAAAGGTCAATCTCCGTTTCGCTGGTACCATGAGTCGGGCTGGTGCACACAAGGCCACGGCCATGAGGCTGAGCTCGTCGCTCTTCAAGCCACGGCGTAATCGCGCAGCGATCAAAAGTACGCGCATATTTAACTGGCGCAGGCTGATGCCCCTGCAGAACCCCTTCTTGGACTTGAGACTGCCCCACTCCATCTGAATAACCTAATGTGATAACACTATGGTGATTGCAGTGTTGGCCCCAACAATATCGTCTGGATGCATGTGTATATAATCGGTGTCGTCAGGCAAACTACCATGCATGCTGCCACAAGGATTAGCCTGGTCGTAAAACAATATGCAGTACGACTTCTGTAGACGGGAAAGGCGCCAGCCTGCGACGAGCTGCACTTTTTATGGCTGCCTCTCTCCTGCGGTGGGGCACACCGCCATGAAGATGATCCGCCGAAACTCGCTCAGGGTAGCACGCGTTGCCTCTGACGCCCAGGTACTTGCTGTAAGCCGTACTGAAGGGGCGCATTCTATGAACGAGCCGAGCCGATCGCAGTCCAGGAGCGGTAGCGGTGGGTTTTGGCATGCTGCCTCCCCAGGATCTGCGCCAGTCCAGCGGTAACCGAGCCCCTCCACGGAAACCTCTGATACGGCGAGAAAACCATTCCATGCTAGGTATAGTGTCACCAAAAGTACCCTGCTCGTGATTATCTTTCGGGTGCCTATGAGTAGGAAGTAACAGCATACGATCAATTTCCATGGGTGAACTCAATTGTGGTGCGCTCTTTCTGTAGGCCATCGTGCGTAAGGATGCGCAAATGCCGTGCAAGTCTCGATCAGCCTCATCTTTAAATCCTGGCCCATAGAAGCGATGCCCCATTCCCGTCTCAAAACGATCATCTGGCAGAGACGGTGGGTAAACTGGCCTCGCCGATTGACCGCCCAAGGGTCCTCGCTGGGCAAAGACATGTGTCCACATCTGTACTGTAGGGCGCATGCTGAGCGGCTCGTTGAAAAAAACGCTGGCCTGGTCCGACAGTCATGCAGGCAAGTCGGCGACAGAGGCGATGCAACAGAGACCGGCGTGCGTCTTTCCAGGCGTCCCGAATCTGCTCTGTAAGCGACTCCATATTCTGTTCTCGATCCGTATCGCGCGCGTGTTTGATCTGCTTGGTAATCGCAAACAACTTATTTTGCACCTGGGTGAGCTCCTGTAAATGCGGATGATCAGCAATTATACCGGCAGGAAGAGTAGCACTCGAAGTTCGAATCGTTCTCGGAGTAAGGTACGTTGTCGTTCTCGAAATCGGACATATTCTTCGTGTTCCTCATGCACCTTCGCATAATACCCAGGTGATATGCCTCATATACATACATATATATATATATATAACAAACTGTTCCCATGCTCGATCAAAGAGTCGCTTGTCCTTGAAGAAAGCGCCAGGCGGGAAAAGTGCGGTAGCACAGATCTTCAACTTCGCGTAGAAACCGAGTTCTCCGGACACCACCCACCACCCCCTCCACAAGTCGACCAGCATCCCACGACTCGGCCTTCGTTGTGGGCGCCGCAGGGGAACTCAGGAGGTATCTCACCGAGACCTGGAGAGGCCAGTGGTCCCATCTTCGGACCGTGGAGACAATTTGGAGCCTTCTGCCATCTTTTTGGAGAACTCTGCGCTGGGTGACCGAAGAGGGCCATGTTCTGGGATCGCCGATATAATCAACCCGCGTACTGTTCTGCTTCCCAAAGGTGTCCTCTCCTCCTACAAAGGTACTGGTCAGAGAAAGCCCGAATTGTTCGAAATAAAAACGCATCTTCTTCATGCAATAATGATCAGGCCGTGGATATAGGGGCCCAGTGGGGTCGGCTTCATCCGAGTGGTGTTCAGGTGGTGGCACGCCA